TCATGTCCTCATTAAAATCGGCCATTTTGAATATTTGCAATCAGCAAAGTCTGTGACGTCATAGTCTTAACACGGCAAGAAGCGCACATTGAAAGTATACAAAGTAATATATAAATAGAGCAAAAAAAATCAAATTCATCGAGATCTAGCTCGCTTTCTGAGTCTTCGATCGAGACAAACGCATCGATTTCTTCATCGGAATTCATGACGGCAAATTCTGACGAATCTAATTCGAAATTTGCCATTTGCCGATAATATTGAACCGCTTGTTTCGCCCGATGAAATTGCTGCCGTACGAAGCTGCAGTCGCAGAAGAACGGCAGGTTGAGGACATGCTGCAAGATCGCTTTGATGCCCGTGTTGATGTTACTTCATGGTAAGATGTCATTCTTAGTGTGTTACTTTGATCTGATCGTCTGCCGCGTTAGCTACTTTATGGAAACATACAATTTGGCCTATATTAAAAGGTGTAGAATGTGGCCATTGTTCGTTGGATCTTGTTGTCAACCCTCAAGAGTGCCGATGCTGCATGGAATTAGAGCAATGCCGTGGTAAAATGTAATGTGCCTGGAAGTCGATGGTTGTTGCATTTCATCACCCTGGTTTTAACGAAGTTTGCCTGAACGAATTTGTTCTTCAAGCAGCTTCGTTAGGTTTAAAGACCAAAGGTCATCGCAGTTATGCGACCGTTTTCGAGATGGTCAAAATACCAGAGAGAGGAGTAAGCCTTTTTCTTTGTGAAAATTCTAAAATATTATTTTGTGCGCCTGCATCTATACTTTTGAAATTTATAGGTTCTTTCGAGCAGTATCGTACAGACAACTCGTGCGTCTTCTATGGGACTTTACAGGCAGCTCCAGACATTTGCCACTGCCTTGTTGTTGTTACAACAAAATACGGACGATATTTTTCTTCTTGAAAATAGCACGAATCTTCTTTCTTCATGCATGATACAGACACTTCATTTTGTATTTCCTTTAAAACTTTAGTATAAATGTATATTATATATTGAAAGTTTGCCTGGATGTATTATTGGTTCTCTCAAATTGTGAAAATTTGTCATCTGCAATATGTGTAAGTATATAATAGTTGTAACTTGTGCTAACCTGACGCCGCTCTCTTGACGTTGTTGGTGTTGGCGATTTCTTCCAAATAGTAGGTACGGCACCAGGTTTGAGCCGTCTAGTCATACCACCCAAATGGAAAAAACGCTCAAAACAATCATCCGAGAAGTGATTCGAACAAATCATAAATCGAATTTTGCGCGAACTCGGATTAAAGTTTGCGCGCTTCGTCTCAACAAATTTAACCCAAATTCTTCTTAAAGACTCGTCGTTTGGGCTTTTATGTAATGAAATGCCTGTACTTCTATCAGACGTATTACTGCAATCTTGCACGACACAGCGTGTTGAAGGCATGTTAAAAAATTGAGTTATACAACCTTTTATATCTCTATTTGTATATAGTGTTATATTGTAAACAGAGTTAAGACTATGACGTCACAAGCACCTTCCTTCTTGAAAATTCAAATATGGCGCATTTTAATGGCGGCTCTTAAAGTACAAGTTTTATCGCTACGTAACTCGAGCAGCATTAAATACATTGCGCTAAAATTTCGCCAGAAGAGATTTTTTTACATACACTATTAATCTATGAAAAAAAAACGGGAGGCAAAATTTTCGTCATAGTACCACTTTAAGGCGTTGAATGATGATCTTATAAATTAAAATATTGGCATTAAAATTTTTTTAGGAGGAAGAAGCTTATGAACGTGCTTAAAATACTGGACTTCGTTTTGCAGTTTGGTATTAAATAAAGCTGATGTATGTCTATCACGAAAAAACTTTCTGCAGTACTCATTTAGAATTATTATCAAAATCGCAATTTTTTTCAAGCTACTGTCCTAACTGCATGTAAAAACAAATGGCTTTTCATCATCTTCGTAACAAACCTTTTGCAATAGGTTTAAGGGCTGCTTTTATGAGCCATATGTGAATGGCTATAATACTCTCTGCAAGGATCCTTACGCTTGCAGTCGGTTTGCACAGCGAGTTTTGGCGATAAATTCAAACGGAATCGAAACAAACAAAATCAATTATTGCTTTTTGCTTTCTTAGCTACTCTTTTTTTGTTTGTAAGCTCTCGTTGATGGATTTTTGCCGCCATTCCTGAAAAGTGATGCCTTATCGCATGTGTGTTTGTTAAATTTTCAGCCCTACATGCAGGGAAGTATGGCTTGCCTGTTGCGTTTATATGGAAAATTTGCAGCCCAACAATGACGAGATCTCGCTGTTGGTAGGGCTGACCCTCCTCTCATGTACACGAAAAACAAATTATAACAATTTTTAATAGCATGCGACCTTTCGCTTGCTAGGGCTAGACCTCCATTTGTTTGGTTTTACCATTGCTGCGTATGAAAAAATAACATCAACGTCAACAATGCCACATTTAGCGTTCCACACATCGTTTGTGAATTGGCTTTCGCAAAGAAAAAATGCACATACGGGAATCACATAACGAGTCAAATTTCGATACTTTTTTGCGTGTTTTTGGAGGAAAAGTGCATGATTAAGTGCTTCACTATCAAAACAACATCAAATGCCCTATTTGGCATGATACTGGTGAAGAAAAAGATGCGCATGATAAAATACTTCAAGTCTCCTTCACAGGATTGCTTTCGTACAGCGATAAATGCATCTCTACATTTTGGTGTTATGGGAGATCTTTCAGCTCTTTTTCTATTCATTGTATAGGTTAATGAATCACATCTTAGTGTAAATTTTCACTTCAGTAGATGGCATTTATGGACATGACAAACGGGAGAACAGAAAGCAAATTGGTTCGGTGATAGCACTTGAGGACGAAGCTGTTGCCTATTATGAATAAGTAGCTATAAAAATGATAATCGCACACATTCTTTTTCAAACAGCTTTGCGTGCTTTGCAACTTCACTTCCCTTATTGATAGTTTAGAAACGTATTTGTAATTTGTAAATCAATAATTGCGGGTTCAAGCTTGATCCAAATTTCATTTATCCAGGGAGAAACCGATTTATCGACTCGCAAATTAAATTCTTTGCAAAAATTTTGATTTACGTATACTTTTTTGATATCAATAGATTTTCACAACATTTAAAACAGCTTTGACACCATGTTCTTGCTGTTGTACACCATGTTCTTATTAAGGCATCGTCTCTTTGTGCGTGTCGTTTTCTCCTAATTAATTGGATTAATTAAATTTGATTTAAACTTCGTAAGAGCAATTGTACAGTTCATCTGCAGAACGCTGTGACAAATTGCCTTATTTTACAAAACTCATAAAATATTTTTTGACTCATTTCTTGAGAAGAATGCTTTGTTAAAAACGCTTTTGTACCTGTTTATTTCGATATCATGTGGACTTTTCTTAACGTGACTATAGGCTATTGATGACAAAATGCTCGCAATCTTTGACATTATAATGACAAGAAAAATGAACAAAATGTTACCAACTCGATTTGAAATAATTGCACGAAGAGATTAAAATCGTCTGAGATGATGCGAGAGAGAAGTGATGACGTCAAGAAAAAATCACTCGAAATAAAACTTTAAAACTGATTTATGTTTTAAGGTCTGACGATTGAAATAATTTAGACCGTACCATGGACCAATCATAAAAACAGCTTTTGTTGTCCTCATAATAGAAAGTGATGAACTCCAACCCATTGTTGTTTGTAAAAGACGACACAGCCAAGATACAAATAGAATCATAGACAGTTAAAATATCAAATTTGCTTATTTTGCTAAATTCGAAGAGTAATGTTGCATTAGTACTATTTTAAAAGTACTTCATTTATGATGACAACATGTCTGTTTGCAAAATTCTTATATCGCCAGCAACTGCAACTAATGTTTGATGGAATAGGTTCAATATTCACCGTTATATCCTTCTGCTTTGGTTAAAATGTTGCATTCTGTTTGTACATGCAAGGTCATTGTGGTGAGCGTGGTGGCGTGCGCCTGTAACCGAGCTACTTCCGAGTTGGTAGTGTGGAAGGACTTGTGGTTGGGTTTCCTGTTGCATGTACTTCTATGTCAAATACGTGTACTTACAAAGCTAGGTGTAAATATGATGATCAGTTGGAACTACATGACATATAGTTTTATTAACCTGGACGATCATCATTTACAAACATGTAACGATACTCCCGGGTTCAAATCATTTACTTTATATAGTTTTAGTAAAGTAATTTTGTAAAAACTCAAATCTGACTGAGGAACATTAACGAAGCAATTCATATGTTAAGTATGCAAATTTTCGGTGCACCTTTTATTATGAAAAAGAAATATGGCTTGGTTTTTCTCCGCTGACGCTGTTTTTACGTAATTTTTTACCACACCGAGTTGTTCTGTTCGTCGATTTGTTGGTGCATAAATCTCTCAAAAATAAGGACTTAATCAGACTTGATTCGTTCAAATTTATCTCACCAAATATGTTTTCAATTGGCAAAACCTAATGCAAATCTGGTGATCTAAATATTTGTTTTGTAATTCAGGTAAAAGCTGATTAAACCAGGGAAGTTGGCACGACTGCCTGTCGTATAGGAGAAGACCTTAAAATGTTGAGTCACTCATCGTGAATTCATCAACAAGCCACTGAGAGTAAACGGTGTAATATTACATTTTACTCATCACATGCTGGTCCATCAAACGGCAGCCAAAGAATTTTAAATTAGCAATTTTTTGCTTTTGTTACTTATTAATGACGTCATGGTGAGTAGAACGTAAATTTCTTCGTATTGTGCACACTTAACGTTTGCAGCCATGTTTATCACTTGCATTTGCACGATTCTTTATGACATTATGAAATAAATTATTACCTTCTAGATGAGTGCAACGGTTGACGAAGGTCTCTTTTCATGCACATTTTAACTATCTGGTCCACGATCTATGATGAAAATATTGTACTTACACGAAGTTTTAGTATGAATAGGTCCAGTCTCCCTGCGCGAAGTTGTCAGATAAGTTTTTGGCACATTGTCCTTTCCACGTGGGCTCCTTAAATATCAGAAATTGCATCTTTTGTCCATTTGGAGGAGAAATCGAAGAGAAACCATGCAAGGAGGCTCGCCTATTATTGTTTTAAGTACGTTTGATATTAAATTTCAATAAATTGGCTTGTGTTCGTTTTGAAAGTGTGATTATATAGTGTTTCAATCACGAAGAATTTTGACCTATTCTCAATTTCTTGCCGTTAGATCAATCCACAAGAAGAGAGTCGGGCAGGAAAGTCCAACTTGGAAATGTACAGGCTGCCAAAGTACGTTGAACTTTGAATAGTACCACTTTAACTATTGTGTTATATTTAGGAACAAAAACTGGTCAACAAAAACATTTGAATGATTTGATCTTCTCCCGTACGTCCATTTAATTTTAAACTTTGATAATTTAACATGTTTGGAAGCCATTTTTGTTTTGTGGTTGACGAACAAATGTTCTAGGATTAAAGTATAGCTGACATTAGTTCGTCTTCAGCAAAGAAAAATAGTACAGGCTCTTAAAATATGCAAGTCAAAGGTTCAGATTTACTTCGCAAGTCCCACCCCGACTTCATCCTGTCTTCAGTGTCTTATATTCCATGGTCTTCATTTCAAGACTTTATACAGAAACAGTGAAGGAGGGGGTAGGTGGGTTCATAGACTAACAATTTTATGGGTAAAATTCAGCATCTTAATTACATGGTGTTTTACAAAAAAATGTGAATCAAACTTTATGTTATTGCACATTTTATAGTGTGTTTAGAGTTATATTTTTATAAAGCAAAAGAAATGAACTCTTAAGCTTTCCAATGATATGTTTTTCATTTCATAATAATCAGAAATAATCCAGTACTCACGTAAAAATTGCAAATTGACATTGCCTTTTTCCAATGTTGAGAATTATTATATACATTAGTTGATTTCTTTCTGCCATTTCAAACAAGAGAAAATGAAACAGCAGGTTTTTCGAGTGTTGTATCATAGGTTAAATAGTCTTTGATATTTGTATTAAATTCCCAATGATAGAAAAAATTACCATTTGTCATTTTTATTTGAAGTGCACTTGATCATTTTTTAGTTATTATGAAATGAAAAACATATAATTGGAAAGCTAAAGAGTTCACCTTTTTTCTATATAAGAATATGTGGGCAAAACACTACGTCAAATGCATGTTTACTTATTAAATTTCTATTCATTCTTTTGATGCACAGTATAATATATTCTCATGCTATTATGCCACTCTCCCCCCCTTTAAACAGGCTCTGTGATAATGGAAAAGATAAAAGAGGATTTTATTGTGTTTGATTTAAATTTTTTGCATGAAAAAGACTATTGCCTGTTAACACTCTACCGGATTACTATTGTAAATTTCCTTTGTATTAAAAGGCAGTGAATTTTCAATGTCAGCAACACAATCAAATAAACAAATTCTATAAACTTAAAAGGCTTTTACTCCAGATTTGACCCCTTTAAAGCAAATGAAAATGTCAGGATGAGCAAATCCGCTATACTATACACACAGGCTATGTATGCCATAGTCTTCATGGTTGTTAGTGAGCAAGATGCAGCTCTTGTCAGCAAAACTGCAGACTATCTTTATCTTTGTTGAACATTTTTTTGTTTTGAATGTCACAAAATGTTATAATTTTTTAATTAAGACCATTGCCGATGTCATCAGGACCTGTCTTGGCCCTAGAGCCATGTTGAAGGTAGGACAATACATCATTTATGGTGATCATGTTATCCAAGGAAATATGTATTATGGCACTAAAAGCTGTGTTCACAGCCATTATAGAAAAATTCTTTGACTCATAATCACCAACATTGTTGTTTTTTTCACTTGTTGAATGTCTGTCTGTCTCATATGAGTGTTTGCTTCTTGTGATTTCTTGTGACAAACTGGTGTTTGCTTATCAAAGAATATTTAAAATTTGGATCTCTAGAAATTTTAGTTTAAGGAGTTCAAAATTTAAGAAGTTTTTATACTTATGGTAGGTGTGCAATAGTCAATATGACAGTAACTTTCTGTTTGTGTGATTTAGGATTTGGCTCGAACCCCCTAACTGCCCCTCTCCCCTACCACCTTGGTGTCCATCAGTCTAAAACAAGTAATTTTTTGTAGATGCTAATGAACCCAATGGGTGGTATTGTGATGACCAATGATGGCAATGCTATATTACGCGAGATCCAAGTACAACATCCCGCTGCTAAAACGATGATCGAGATAAGCCGAACCCAGGATGAAGAAGTTGGCGATGGTACCACGTCTGTGATTATTTTAGGTAAGAGAACACCTATCTTGATCTAATAACTGGATTTCTGATTAATGCTTGTGATTTTGGGTGTTTTTCTTTGAAATTTTGCGAAATCTTGGAGTGTCTTTTTAGGGATTTGCTTGCGTAAGCAAGAAAATCCTCTATGTCGTGGTATGTGTAAGATAGAGAGCAAATATGATGGCGTAAAAAGCACTTAAAAAATTGACGGTATGTTCTGACCACTCAAATATTCGTTAACTGCCCGAACGTACATTACGCCATTCTCTGATGAAGAGTAGCGCTAATCTGTAAAATGTAAACAAATAACATAAGGGCAACGGTAAGAAAGCATTATTTTATTTGCTTTTTTAATGCACCAGTTAAAACGTTTCAAAGGCAGTATTAAGAAATACGTTCGATGGGGAGCGGGGCATCGCATAACTTAGATTTATAAAGTAACCATAAGAATTTAAGCCATTTCATTGGTCAAAAGCTATGATCCATTTAAAAGGACATACGCATGGAATTGACGTCACAGAAATTTCTTGTTTTTCTATTACAAACAAAAGGCGAAATTGTTTGAATATTAACCAGAATTTACCTCTGAATGGGCAAGTGAAGACACTAAGAATACCTAGTTGAAGCAGTTGACGTATTTGAGTAAAAATCAAAGAAAAAACGGTTTTCAAACGTTGATTTTCACTTCGCCTTCGATAACACAATTTCAACAAAATTGATCAACCATTCCTTATTTATTCTGTCCGCCAATCACGTTCTAGCACGTGACCTAAGCTATGCAAAAAGCATTTCTTCTATCCTATAGATCATGTATACGTGATACTTGTATAATATTGATTTTTTTAATTTTTTAAGTGTTGGGGATAACAAAAACATCGTGTTTGCCAGTTAAATATGGGAAAAACACTTGAGAAAAACGACGATTTTTTTGAAAGCAAACATGTTTCGACATTATCAGAATGCCATCTTCAGTGCAGAATGGTTAGTGTTAAGTAATATGATACGTAATATGATATGAATAAATTAATTACAATGAATAGGATTATGATTTAGTTAGGAAATTATAAAATATTTACAAAAAAGGAAAAGAAAAATAAGTATTAAGAACTTATAACGTAAATATAGTGTTGTAGTGGTGAACTTGGATATTTAAATCGGGATTAGTTTTATTGATGTGTAGAGCTTCCTTGATTTTGAGTGAGAAAATGGATTGATCAGTGTCGATGATTTTAAAATTTCTCACTCAAAATCAAGGAAGCTCTACACATCAATAAAACTAATCCCGATTTAAATATCCAAGTTCACCACTACAACACTATATTTACGTTCTAAGTTCTTAATACTTATTTTTCTTTTCCTTTTTTGTAAATATTTTATAATTTCCTAACTAAATCATAATCCTATTCATTGTAATTAATTTATTCATATCATATTACGTATCATATTACTTAACACTAACCATTCTGTACTGAAGATGGCATTCTGATAATGTCGAAACATGTTTGCTTTCAAAAAAATCGTCGTTTTTCTCAAGTGTTTTTTAAAATTGCTGCTAATTAGAAATTAAATATGGGAGTTTTTTTTTGCATTTAATATATACGACAAGTTTTTTTAGAATAGACATGTTTCGACATCTCATGATGCCATCTTCAGTATAAGTTCGAGCGTGTTATAAACTAAATATTGTGTTGAATTTAAAAACTTGAACATTGAGGTCAGGGTTAGTTTTGTTAATGTGGAGTGCTTCTTTGATTTTAAGGGAGAATGAGGTGTCGGCAGTGTCGATGATTTTGAAGCAAGAGGGTGAATAGTTGGTTTTACATGAGTGAGATTTAAGAAGGTGTCGGTAGATATGAGAGTTTTTGTCTGTTGTGGTATGTTCCCTGATTCTGGTGGATAAATAGCACGAAGTTTCTCCAATGTATCGGGAATTACATCCTGCGCAACTGAATTCATATACCACCATTGATTTAATTGAATCAGGGATTGGGTCTTAGAATGAGAAAAGGTTTTTGATTTTGAATGATGTGAAAAGCGTTTCATAATGCTTGTATGTCTGCGCTGTGTGTGTCGTGAGTTTTGTCCGATGTATGGTAGTTTAAAGTTTAGAGTTGTTATTTTTGAATTTTCATTTATGTTGGTCGTGATCGTTGTGTCAGGAGTTTCGGTGTCTAGTTTGAGGTTGTTGCTTTGTTTGTTGTCGAGATATCGTTTTACGATTCTGTTTATAAAGTGTGGTGGAAAGAGTTTCGTAAAAGAGTGGATGGGATGTTTTTTATGTCTCCTTGAAAGCCATTGTTCCTATTGTTAAGTTTGTATGCTATGTCGATTAGTGTGCATATAAGTCCAGTTTTGTATGAAAGTGGTGTGAAACTAAAATAGTTCAGTACAGCTGTCATGAGATTTGTTTGTAAAATGTCAAGAAATGGCAGTTGATCTTGTTGTTCAGTTTCAAATGAAAATCTAATGTTTGCGTGCTGTGTGTTATTGTAATTATAAAACTTCATGGCCTCAGTTTCGTTAGTAAAAACACTATTTTTTGAGTTTTATTATACGTATAAAACAAGTAGATTACATTTAAGTGATCGCAAATGTGTTCATATTCGTTTATCTATAACTGTGTAGACAACGGTTAAATGTAATCTATTTGTTAAATATATTGAACTACATATAACTGGTAGGCTATCTTCTGTTATATCGGTAACACACTAAATAAAGCCAAAATTTTGCGTGATCTGACTTCCAGACTCACGTGTTTATTACGAGCGTGGAAAGACTGGGAACAAATACTGCCGACTTCAGCTTCAAATTTCTGGGCGAAGGTAGCCTTCCAGTTGTGTTTAGTTCAATGGGTTGAATTTGATTTGTTTTTCCACCTTTTTATATAGCATTCCCAATGAACTAAAATAGATGGAAGGCTACGTCTGTTGAAATTTTGATGCCAGTAGAGGCGAGTCTTTCCGCGCAATGTCTACACACGGCCAATTGACAGAAGCAAAAAAAAACAACTTGTATAAACTACGAACCTCCAAAAGCAAAACACAAATTCTTTTCTGTCTTAATTTGGCAAATAAGACGTTTATAAATGAGACTTAACATCAAGCATACACCATTTTTTGACAATTACATTTTTGTAAAGGAAGCTATAGCCACCCATAACTAGAAGTTACTTTGCTACAGTTGTTTGTTTTTGGTATCTGTAGATGTGCCAAAAACTAAAGCTTCTCTGTTCTAAACTAGCAACTATTGTGTGCAAGATACTTAAAAACTTCATATGACATAAAAAGCTCATAAAATCTCAAACAAAAATCACGTTTGGAAATGTCTTTTTACGCAAAACAATTATTATTAGTGTGCCTCCGTGGACGTACAAATTTACAGAAAAACAAATTTTTATTTCAAATTTACAAGAGATTTGGTTACAAAAGATAATTAGATAATCATCGTAACGTGTTAGATAAATTGATGCACCTGCAGAGAATTCCTCCCCAAGCTTTTCAATTCATAGGTATCCAACAATTTTTTGGAATTTCATATTAAATTTACAGTCAGTTTAGCTTTTTGAAAGACATACATACATGCAACTTTATTTCGAACACCATTTTTTACAAAAAATAATGATTCTGTAAATAGGTTTACGCACAAAATATTCCAAGGAGCAACTCGTATAAATTATTGGATATATCCAGTTGAATTCTTTTGAAATAAACTAGTACTTGCTGCAATGTGTCAGATGTGCATAAAATGAACGACGTCATTGTTTTTTACAGTTTCTACGGTTGATATTTTCCATTTCAAAATACGTATTCAGTAGTAAGCATCATAATTGACTAAATAAAGTCAAGCCCCATCACCTTTAATGCCCCAATACTTTTCTACGATTATTCTTTCTTTGACCAAAATCAATAATAGACTTCGGTTTTAACAAATTATTAGGCTTTTCATTACAGGTAGCCTTCCATCTATTATAGTTCAATGAGCATTCGTAATTTTTTACTTATTCAACTATTTTGTCGAAGGTTTGATAGTCGATACAAATGTTTGATACATTAGTGAAACAAAAATGACGTGAGCAACAGCCATATGTTTTGAATATTATGTTGATACATCACATAGGAAATGTAATGAAAAAAATATTATTAAATATGGAAAAAAGGTAGTGTCAGAGTGTTGCTATCTCAACAAATTATGTTTTGCGTATATATGGATTTTCATGGTTTTCGGTTGATTTTTATGGAATGTTTAGTAAAAACTTGATATTGTGTTGTGTTTGGTTACACAATATTTTAAGCCCCCCCCCCTTCCTTTTTTTTCTGCCTTTATCTTAATAATACTGATATTATTAGTAATTACACGTAAAACCAAATCATGACACATTCATTGAGTTGCTACGTTTGAATTAAGAAACAAAAGATGTTTACTGTGTTTGCACAGGCTTTTGCAAACGGATGAGGCCTTTGGGAGAACTCGAAAGCTGATCGGTGCAAGGCCGAGACCGAAGGTCGATGGTTGCACCCACTGATCTCGAAATAAGACTGGTTCAGGCAACTCTATATTCGCAGTAAACAATTTATGAAGCCATCGCCGCCATTACTAAGGGACCAGCACATCGAAAAATTAATTTGATTCAGCAAACAAAACTATGGAAAATATAGCAAGACATTGTCAAAAATCAAAAATATTGAATAAAAACAACCTTTGTAATAATTATAAAGAGAGTCGTATAACAGCAATTTTAATGCTGTTTTTAATCCGAAGCGCTCGTAATAAAGATTGATCAAGTTTGTGATCGTAAATGAGAATATCTTATTACTCTGTATTTCTGAATTACAATTCCAACAATTCTTGGTATTTCCATGTAGTTTTGGTCTTTGTTTCACAGTTTCTCCAAACCGCAGTACGGTCACGGATGACAAAAATCACTGCATAAAATTGCATATTGATCATATTTCATCATATTTTTAGCAATTCTATGAACTAATTTATCCCTCAGTTATGTTCATGTAGTTACGTGTGGAAAATTTTGAATTATTCTCGTATAAATCCACAATACATTTGTTATGTATTTTCACAAGTTGGTCCCTTAGTAATGGCGGCGCTCCTTATTTTTTGTCTTAAACTTTTTTGATAGATGCTTGAACCAGTCTTATTTCGAGATCAGTGGTTGCCCCTACTCGAGAGTTCTCACAAACGTCTCTCGCAAACGTCATCCAGTCCTCCACGCTGGTACCTAAATAAGAAATATATACTTAATTAAATGATTTCATAACTATTAATAGTTATTATAAATTAGTCTCATCAAAAGTGCATTAAACAGCCACCTATGTGAACTATGAACATCACATTCGGGTTATACTTTGATCTATTTTAGTAGAGGCTTAAGAATCAAGTTTCTATGGTTAATGATAATTGAATATGATTGTATGAAGTAAGTTCGCAAAGAGCGCCGAAAATTGAGCGAAGACCGATGAAACAACACCAATCTTTCTATTAGTTAGCTGTTCACAAAAAAGTTTGTACGAAGCTCGTGGCAACAGCAATTATAGCGCCGGGCATTATGCTAAATCTATAGTTACTCTTTTGTCGTTTGTTTTTCATTTTATCATGATACAAATATTATAGTTAGTTAAACGCGTTCTATGCTTAATCTTGCTTTCAGATCACGCATTTTTCCACAAAAGATACAACCGTAAATGCTCGCATGAGCGCCGCTCCCATTTAATTATCGCTCTCGGTTAAGCGCCGCACTCAAAATCTAGAAAAGTTCTTTAGACTTTGATAGATTTGTTTTAATGGAGCGATTATTTAATAAACGCTGCTTTTACTTAGGCACCCTTCACGAATGAGAGCGCCGCTGTGCTTAAGCGAACATTCACAGTTCATAATTAAGCATCATATTCAGATTACTATATTTTATTTACTCGCTTTTCCTTGCGTACAACATGGTTTTCTTCATACCATACATGTAACGATTTCAACCCCCCAGATGAATTAATCGTTTTACTAAACATGTTGCAAGAGCTGATGTATCACAATTCTTAAATTTCTTGAAAAAATTTTTTCATTCAAAAATGTGCCATGTGTTTGAAATCCACAACAAGTCGTAAGACGTTGTGCTTTATCCAGTTAAATGTAGCTATAAAGATCAGCTTTTGGGAACTTATGCCTAAATTATTGCGATTCATCGCCATTTTAGCGGGTGAAATGATGTCAGTCGCGGAACAATTCTTGGAGGAGCAGATGCACCCGACAGTCATTATTGGGGCTTACCGTCAGGCACTTGAAGATATTTTAGGAATTATGAAGGAGGAAATCAGGTGCGAATCAACTGTAATGTATTAAACATGATATGAAAATTACGTGTTCACGTATTAGAGTTTTGAGCCAGTAGTACCCTATTTCGTTCGATGTGTCTTCAGGATTATTATAGGTAGAACCATATTAGTGAGGTTACTTATGATTAAATGTACCCGAACTTCGAGGGAGTTTGTTAAACTTTTATTCAGGTGGACCATGTTGGATTCAGGTGCAATCTAGTGACATGATTCTCGTTCGTTTCCAGTCCTTAATTCCATTTTACTCTCGAAGTTGCTCAGTTTTTCTTGGGTTTTAGACCATTCACCATCGCAATGGTCCTTTTTATGGCAATGTTTAAGTTTGTTACCAAGACAAAGTGTCTGTTTCAACTTTAATTTGCATGATGGACTTTCGTTCTATGTTAACTTGTTTTTCTTTCCACCGCTGCGATTTATAATTTCTAACACTATTTAGAATGAAGGAAAGATTCAGCCAGTATATTTGTAAATGTAGATCGTCCAGGTTGGTATAGTCCTGAGAAGGAGTCAAATGACTCTGAAGATGACTACCGCAAAGGTTGTCGAAACGTCAGTCAACAACAACAAAAATAGTCCTTCTCAGGACTATTCCAACCTGGACGATCTACATTTACAAACATGTAACGATACTCCCGGGCTCAAACCATTTACTTTATTCAGCTAATATTTTGGCCATGATTTAAGATTTCAAGACCAAAAATTTTTTGTTAGTTTATAGTTCAAAAATTGTAAAACAGAGACTTTGTGGTGGCGGATTTAAAAATTGTCTTAAAAAGAGTAAATACCATGGTGAATGGTCGAATGCTAAAGTAATAGTTCTTAAAAGGACTGTTTAAGCCTGAACACTAAACCAACAATTCTAAAAAATAGTTTTGTTTCGAATAGATATCCGAAAAAATTGCTAGACTAACTTTTTTTATCAACTATGAATGAACGAGATAAACCTTTTGGACCGGCCAAGTGCCCTGTATACTTTAAACTTCCCTGGATTGGCGAGGCCTCAAATGACATCGAGAGGGAAACTAAAATATTACTGAGAGTTCATTTTTCGCCTGCAACGTGGTTTTCATATTTTCGAAAAAAATTATTCTACCGCCACCCCCAAAGAGTCTCTGCCTGCGCAAATGTCAAGCAATGTAATGTATGAGTTCAAATGTGAGTGTGATGCTCGCCATGTAGGAAGAACTTCTCAAAAGTTGAGTGATAGAATAAAACAATATTTTCCAGCTTCTATTAGAAATAAAATTGTTTCTTTAAGGCAATACAACCAAAACGCGACTGTAAGAGTGAAAATTTGATTTTATGTGATTCAGCGATTGGAAAACATTTTTTGAGCAACACTCACTGTGCCAATTAATACTCTGATCATAACTTTAGAGTTATTAAAAAATGTCGCCTTTGAGTCTGTATTAGTTAACTTCACTAATCCCGTCCTCTGCCGACAGAAGGATTACGTGTTTCATTTATCTCTGTTTTAAGCGTCATCTCTCAATTTATAGAGATGACGTTGACTTTTGGTTATATTATAAATATCGCATGATGCTGAAGCTCTCATTTAGCAGACGTTGACACCTGATGAGTAGTCAGCCAAAATTCATATTGTCTTTTAGCTTAAAAAACAGTTCTTTTAGAATTGTTGGTTTAGTCTTCTCGCTTTAACAGTTCTTTTAAGAACTATTACGTTAGTATTTGACTATTTACCATGGTATTTACTCTTTTTAGATAATTTTTAAGTTCAAAAGTACGACGACTTTACTAGGAGTACGGGTTATCTTTGTACAGTTGACATAATTTTTTGTTTCCATCTTGTGAAACAATAAAAAATGAAAGTTCCCCTGTAGTATAATTAATATTCATAGATTCATATATTTATAAATATGTATTAAACTTGTATAAATGGCAAAGGTTTAGTAATAAGAAGTTAGTTAGATAACTAACTTTTTACTCAACCGTTAAAAGATATTAACAGCGGACCCGTTAATAAAACACTACATTTTGGCAACAAAGATGAGATTTTGATAACTGTAAGTTCTAATAAGTTTGATGATAAATAGATTTAGAATCGAACATAATTTAAGTGAGGAACAATTAGACAAACTTAACCATGGCAGTCTCTCTACCGAACTTTCCTAGTTTCGAAGTTCATTTAGATGTTAATGCTGGTCTGCAATTGCAGAAATGGCTTGCTCGACTAGAACGATTATTCGTTGGTACGACCAAGCCGAAGATAAACGAAAACGCGCTCTCATGTTACACTGTGCTGGCCCTTCAGTTGACGAAATATTCGACACTTTGGAAGACAAGAGGAATGATTACAAGACTGCAACAGAAAAACTCACCGAATATTTCACAAACAAATACAGCTTACGAAGTATAGAATTTCATACAAGCCAATACAAGACAAATCATACAAGGCAAATCGCTCGACAGTTATCATACTCGATTAAGACAACTCTCGAAAACATGCAGCTTTGCAGACAACGATAAGAAATTAAAGAAAACATAATTCTAAGCTGCTATTCCAAATCTACTAATTTATGATACTGCCAAAGAGCTTAATCTTCTGAAAATGACAGTGAACACTATTAATGAAAATAAAAACGCATGTCCAAAGAAGCAGTTTTCGAGTCTATTTGGACAAACTATAAAGCTACACATTGATCATTCCAAAACGATAACCACATCGCAGAACTCCATTTTCTGTTCGCAAAGATGTTGCGAAAGAGCTAGAACCATTGGAAAATCTAGACATTATAGAAAAAGTTGATGGTCCAAAACAATCTAGTGAAGTAAGAATTTGCATTGACAAGTGTGAAGCTAACCGAGCTATAAAAAGAGAAAAAACACATGCCAATGTTTGATGACATGGTAACTGAATTAAATGGGGCAACAGTATTTAGTAAATTGGATATCATCAATTTGAGCTGTCCCCTGAATGTCGCATTATACCAACCTTTTCCACTCACGTCGGATTGAGAAGATACAAAAGACTCTTTTTTGGAATCAACGCAGCTGCAGAGATTCTTCAAAATGCCATAGAAGAGTTACTCGTTGATCTTCTGGGATGTAAGAATATCTCGGACAACATTGTAATATATGGTAAGAATCAGAGTGAACAGGATTGGAATTTATATGCTGTTCTAACAAGACTCAGTAATTTAATGTTCGCCTAAATGCAGCAAAGTGTGTTTTCTCTCAGTCAGAATTCAAGTTCTATTGTCATATCTTCAGTGCTCAAGGAATTAAACCAGATCCAAAAAAGATCAATACAATTAAAAATATAAAATCACCACAGAGCGTGAGTGAAGTCAAATCACTCCTTGGAATGGTACAATATTTTCCCGTTTCATACCAGACTATGCCACAGTAACAGCTCTATTACGAGAATTGACAAAGAAAGATGCAAAATGGAAATGGAAAAACAAAGAGCAGAAAGCCCTTGACCGCTTAAAACGTGAACTAACTGGAGATCGCGTAATGATCTATTTCGATCCTTGTAAAAAAATAGGAATCATTGCAGATGCCAGCCAAGTAGGCATTGGAGGAATACTGCTACAAGAAGGTAAAGTTTATAGTTACGCGAGCCGTGCTCTAATTGCAGTAGAGAAGAGATATTCGCAAACAGAACGAGAAATGTTAGCGGCTGTTTGGGCAGCAGAACATTTTCACCTCTATGTTTACCGTCAAGACTTTACGATTATCACAGATCATAAACCACTTCTTGGTATAGTAGATAGTAATGAGCCTCTGTCATTTTGAGTTGAAAGATGGAAATTACGACTCATGCCCTACAAATACGAATTGACTTATCGCTCAGGTAAAGATGAAAAAAGTCCAGTAGATTTTATAAGTCGACATCCAGTTTCAGAATATCCCAAAACAAATATAGCAGAAGAATACATCAAGTATGTTTGTTATAATGCAGTACCTAACGCAATAATATTAGAAGAAGTGCAGATGGAAACCCAAAGAGATTCAACGATGCAAGCTCTGGCTAAAGCAATTGAAACAGGAAAATGGCGTGATACAGATATCAAAGAGTACGTTGATGTGAAAAATGAACTATCTGTTCTGAATGGGACGATCCAGACAGGACATCGTCTGGTAATTTTACGTCGCAAAACAAAGCGATTGAATTAGCACATATTGGACATCAAGGTATCGTAAAGACCAAAAGACTCCTATAGAAAAAGGTATTGTTTCCTGGCATAGACAAACTTGTAGAAGACAAAATAAACAACAGCATATCCTGCCAAACATCTTCAGGAAACTGAACCCCTCCACATCCTCTAAAAATGACGAAACTACCAGCTTGTCCATGGAAAGAAGTTGCTGTAGATTTCGCTTGCCTGTTTCCCTCTGGTGATTATATAATGGTAGTAATAGATGAATACAGTCATTTCCCTGAAGTGGAAATCATTGCATCACTATCAGCTAAGACAGTGATTCCTAAATTGGATTCCATATTCGCGAGACAAGGAATTCCTGATGTAGTCAAAAGTGACAACGGAGCTCCATTTAATAGTTCGGAAATGAAAAAAATTTACCAAACATTTAGGATTTCACCAACGACGAACAACCCCATATTGGCCAAAAATAAATGGTGAGGTCAAACGTTTCATGAGAACTTTTGGGAAATGTGTAAAATCTGCTTGTGTAGAAAGAAAAAATTAGAAACAGGAATTGTAGAATTTTTTTAGACAATATCGAGCTACACCTCACATGACCACTGATATCTCTTCCTGTGAAGCTCTTAATCAAAGAAAGATGAAAACTGAGTTACTTAAATCGTGCTTCATGACATATTCTACACATAAGCCAATCATCAAAATCTGGAGTTGGAAAATGCAAATCAAATGTTGAAAATGGAGAATTATTCGGATGAAAGAGAAAATACTAAAGAAAGTACAATAAAAATAGGAGACATAGTCCTAGTCAAACAACCAAAGCATAACAAGCTAACCACTCCATTTAATCCAACTCCATTTATTGTAAAGGCAAAGAAAGGGACAGTGATAACAGCTGAAAATGGATCGAAAGTTATAAGTCGAAATACTTTGCAATTTCAGACCATTTCTCAACAACTGATGAAAGAAGAACAAAAAGAAAGTGAGGCTATGGAGGGAGTGGAAGAATTAACACCAATAACAACATCACATAAGATCTCATATCTGTTCAGAGGTACAAGCTAGTACAAACAAGGATTCAAAATCTGAAGATAAGGATGAACAAACCCTGCAAAGATCCTCCAGACACCGAAAAGCACTTAGTAGATATGGTGAATATATTACACATTGAACACTTTAATTCGTAATGAATAGTTTAATTAATAATTAGAACATGTTTAAATAATAACACTAGGAAAAGAAAGCCCCATCAAATACTGCACCCCCTAGATAAATTATTATAATTGCTACAAGAATGGATCCCGGTCATTGGCGCCCATTGAATGTGTGTGTGTGTGTGTGGGGATGACAGCTCCAGCTTTTGTGAAGTTAGTATGAAAATCCAGTCTATAAACAAAGAAGGTCGGTCCTAGAACATAGAGCCTACCCCATCACCCGCAGTTTTTGGGCAGATGGGTGCCCCTGATCCCACCCTGACTCAGCCCAAATGCGACTGCTGTGTTTTGATACTCTAATTTGAGAAGTTTTTAGACGCAAAATGCTTTACACGATAACGGTACCAACAAGTAATGTTGCTGAATAGTGGGTACAACTGATGATACTACGTTGTAATGTTTATTTTGAAATTTGCGTATTTTTCGAGTCAAGAGACGATACCAACACGAGTGATCCAGTTCTTCACTTGGCAGTTTACAAGTTATCTTAGTAACACAGCAGTGTTTATTATCTGGGATACATTTATTTAAAATTCATATTAAGATATTTCGTGGGAGGAACTTTCTTTTTATGTGGTGTTCATTATTTCTTTTTCACCTTAGTTTACCAGTGGATGTTAACGATCAAGAACTTATGCGAAAGATTATTAAAAGTTCAGTGGGAACGAAATTCATTAACAAATGGTATTCATTATAATGGTATTTATTTATTATAGTGGGTATATTTGGCAAAATTCTTTTGCAACATGTTTTAAGGTCCGTGTTTATGGCTTGTGAGGATGTTTATTTTTAGTGATGATTATGAGATTGTTCATTATAAAGGTTCGTTTCCATTTAAGAAAAATTTCCACGGAACATATAATTTTCCAAGTTGCGTATGCTGTCACCTTATTTAGCGCATGCGCTACCTGGAAAATTGTACGTTCCGTGGAAAATTATTTAAGTGAAAACGGCCTTTGGTTAAGATGTTGAAAATATTTATTGTAAGGTATGACGTTTACTGTTGGCTAAGTTTATGAAAATGTTATTGCGATGTTATTTTAATCAGAATTCGTGTTCTAAGTTGTTTATGATTATAAGATTGTAACAGGCTAGTGCAGTCCTGCAAATTTGACTGCAAACATGTAGCAATAATTCTGGTCAAAGGTGTGTTCACGTCTTAGTATTTTGACATCGACTGGTTTATCTAAAAGTAAAACAACCAGAAAAATTAATGTGCAAAAGTGGGAGAGCGGTTTTTAAAAGCCTCAATTTTGCTAGTTACAAACAGTCACTCTTGAGTGTAACCAGTCTTAAATAAGAAATAGGTTCATTTTAAAGATCGCAAATATCATGGTGAATGGCAAAAGTAATAAGTTAATAGTTCTTAAAAATGTTTTAAGCAACGAACACTAACCCAATAGTTCTAAAACAACTGTTTTGAAACTGAAAGACACGATGCATTTCGGCGGAATTTTAGTTTCAAAACCGCTCTTTTAAGAACTATTAACTTATTACTTTTGCCATTCACCTTGGTATTTGCGATCTTTAAAACGATTTTCAAATTTATCACCACGACAAAGTCTCTATTTTATTAAATATGTTCATGAAAATGTAGGGAAAGTTGCGCGGTGAACCTAATGTTCATCAAATTTTCTAAAATTTCATGCAATGCAAAACAAAGTTCAAAGTTTCACCTAGTCGAATGAAATTAGATTTTGGAATAAAATTGAGGCTTTTACAATTCATTCAGCACTGAAGATAGTATGTAATTGATAATGTCGAAATATTTTTGCTTTAAAAAAAGTTAGGGTTTTTATTTTAGTTATTTTTAATTTGCTACTAGTGAAAAGTTAAAATATTTTTGTTGCTTTGACGACAATTTTTCCTAGCTTTGATTATGAGAATATTGTGCTATTTATAATTATGATAATTTTCGAATTTATGTCTATTTTCTTAAGTGGAAATTTGGCATCAGATATCGCTTTAAAAGCCGTGAAAACTGTCCTACGAGAGGATTATGATAAGAAGGAAATCGATATAAAGAACTACGCAAAAGTTGTCAAGGTTTCCTCTTTACTACTTCTAGTGCCACAATTGTAGTTCGATTGAATTTTTTCTTTTACGTCTGATGAATTTGGAAAATTTTTGATTTTTTTATCCAGATTCCTGGTGGAACTCTCGAAGAATCCTATGTTTTATCGGGTATAATGTTAAATAAAGATGTTACTCATCCTAAAATGAGAAGGTATTTTTCGACGCAATTTTAAACACCGCGGACATTTACCCCATCTCGGAACTTGTTGTTCCAACTCTTATCGCTGACGTCACTATTTACGTATCAAAAACTTTAATAAACCTTTCATAAATCATATCCTATTACTAACCAGAGATTATTGTTGTTTTTTCATGGTTTGGTTGATAACAAATGAAAGATTAAGTAGATTTAGGGAAGAGAAAAATATCTGTTGTATTCGACAAAATTCGACACTACACAAGAGTTTACATGTTTGTAAATGTAGATCGTCCAGGTTGGTATAGTCCTGAGAAGACTGTTTTTGTTGTGGTTGACTGACGTTTCGACAACCTTAGCGGTAGTCATCTTCAGAGTCAAATGAGGAGTAAACGTCAGTTTAGCCGTATTTGGCATCTGGTTGTTACGTCATTGTATTGTGTGTACAGGAAATGTGTATTGTCATTGTGAATTAGTGTGAAGTGAAGTATTTTTAGTTGTTATGTGTGATTTAGGTGTGATGTTTTTAGTTGTAATATGTAGTTGTCAATTGTGTATTGTCATTGTGAATTAGTGTGATGTGTAATGTTTTTAGTTGATCGTTTGTTTGTATTGTGAATAAGTCGTTTGTACGGTGCCGGGAATTGCTGTGATCTGTTCAGGGGGGTTTGTTCCAAGTTGGTATACCAACTTTCTAATGTAAGCCGTTGTCTATAGTCAGTACTGTAGTAATGCATTTTGCCGAGTCCCAGTCAATGTTATGCTTTGTGATTCGGTGATGTTTAGCAATGTGATTAGTTTTGTCTTGTTTCTTAGTAGCTCGTTTGTGTTCAATAAGTCTTATATTTAAGTTCCTGCCAAATTCCCCGATATAGGAGACGTGGTAGTCGGAGCAGTTTATTTTGTAAACTGCACCTTGTCGTTCGTGGGGTTGTTCTTTGTCCTTTATGCTCGTTAGTACTTGTCGTAACGTTGTGATTGGTTTATGCGCGACACGTATGTTGTATGGTCGTAAGATACGCGAGATAGTCTCAGACGTACCTTTGATATAAGGTATCGTTGCTGTTGTCACTTAGTTGTTCGTTTCGTTGGGTTCGTTGGGTTTGTAAGTGTTGCGTTTGATAAAGTCAGAGTTATAGTTGTTTTTGTCAAATAGACGTTTGAGATAGTTGTTTTTGTTGTGTAGAGCGTCCGGTGAATCACATATGATTTGTGCACGTCTTGTTAATGTTCTGATTGTGGTGGCTTTGTGTGATGTAGGGTTGTAAGGTGATTGGTCTAGTAGTCGGTCAGTATGTGTTGGCTTGCGATAAACTGTTGTTCGTAGTTTTTGATTGTCATGTTTTACCAAACAGTCGAGAAAAGGAAGAGTTCCGTTTTCTTCGACATCTTTGGTAAATTGTATGTGGCTGTTCTGTTTGTTGATTTGAGTGTGAAAGTCATCAATCTCGTCTGCATGTAGTGCTGTGATTGTGTCATCTACGTAGCGGAACCAAAAAGGTAGTGCATGTTTGTAAGTCGTGAGCGCCCGTTCCTCTATAGATTGCATTACAATTTCAGCAACTACAACAGAAACGGGTGAGCCCATTGCTGTTCCATGTAATTGTTTGTAGTGTGTACCTTTGTACTGGAGGTAAGTCGAGGTGAGGCAGAGCTCAAGTAGCTCCATAATGTCTTCTGTCGATAATAGCAGTACGCCCGTGGTGTTTGTAATGAGGGTTTTTGTTCAAGTAAGTGCCAGATTAAGTGGAATACTGGTGAACAGTGATTTCACATCAAAAGACTCTAGTATATATTTGTCCTGTATTTGTATAGTTCACAGTTTTTTAATGAAAGTTTCAGTGGATTGTAGCTTGTGTTTTGATTTGTTTGTAAGTGGTTGCAGTATGTCAGTCAAGTACTTTGAAAGTTCGTAAGTAGGCGAACCACAGAATGATACAATTGGTCGCATGGGTATTTGTGGTTTGTGAAGTTTTGGTAGTCCGTATAGTCTGGGTGGTCGTGGTACTGAACATCTGAGTCGATAGTAAATACGTTCAGATATAATGTTAGATTTTCTCATGGAGAAGATCTTGCTGTTAAGTTTACGTACTAGTGATAGTGTTGGGTCTCGTTTGAGTTGTTCGTACGTTTGTCTGTCGTTAACAAGGATGTCCATTTTGTTAAAGTAATCATTCCTGTCCATGACCACAGTCACGCGTCCTTTGTCTGCTGGTAAAATGAGGATGTTGTTGTCGTGTTTTAGTTGTTTCAGTGCTTGTTATTCGTCTTTTGTCAAGTTGTTGTCACGTATAGAGGACAATTGTAAAGTGGAGGCTATCTCCTGCTTCTTGTCCTCTATACGTGACAACAACTTGACCAAGGACGAACCAACAAGCACTCAAACGACTAAAACACGACAACAACATCGTCATTTTACACTCTACACAACGAAAACAACTATCTCAAACGTGTTTTTGACAAAAACAACTATAACTCTGACTTTATCAAACGCAACACTTGCAAACCCAACGAAACGAACAACTCAGTGACAACAGCAACGATACCTTACATCAAAGGTACGTCTGAGACTATCTCGCGTATCTTACGACCATACAACATACGTGTCGCACATAAACCAATCACAATGTTACGACAAGTACTAACGTACATAAAGGACAAAGAACAACCCCACGAACGACAAGGTGCAGTTTACAAAATAAACTGCTCCGACTGCCACGCCTCGTATATCGGGGAAACTGGCAGGAACTTAAACATAAGACTTACTGAACACAAACGAGCTACTAAGAAACAAGACAAAATCACATTGCTAAACATCACCGAATCACAAAGCACAACATTGACTGGGACTCGGCAAAATGCATTACTTACAGTACTGACTATAGACAACGGCTTACATTAGAAAGTTGGTATACCAACTTGGAGCAAACCCCCCTGAACAGGTCACAGCAATTCCCGGCACCTTACAAACGACTTATTCACAATACAAACAAACGATCAACTAAAAACATTACACTTCACACTAATTCACAATAACAATACACAATTGACACCCACACATTACAACTAAAAACATCACAACTAAAAATACTTCACTTCACACTAATTCACAATGACAATACACATTTCCTGTACACACAATACAATGACGTAAGAACCAGATAACAAATACGGCTAACCTGACGTTTACTCATCATTTGACTCTGAAGATGACTGCCGCTAAGGTTGTCGAAACGTCAGTCAACAACAACAAAAACAGTCCTTTTCAGGACTATACCAACTTGGACGATCTACATCTACAACATGTAACGATACTCCCGGGCTCAAACCATTTACAAGTGTTTACGTTATATAAGCAAATTGTAATTTTATATCATTGTCAACATGCATACGCGAATGTTAAAATTAGATGTCGGGTGAATACCACGAATGCGAGTTTTTTCTTTTCATTGAAGTCGATGTAGGCACTACGTAGTTGACGTCGAATTAGAAAATGGGTTTGAAGAAGATTATCTTTTATATGTTGTTTGTTTGTGCTAGGAAAATCGCGAATCCGAGAATCCTCTTGTTGGATTGTCCTCTTGAATACAAGAAGGGTGAAAGCCAGGTAGGTTGCTGTATTGTTTTTGTTGCATATTACAGTGTATCATTTGTAAAACATCACTGACTTTCCCCTACATCCTAGGTGACCATATATGCAGATTCGGTCGAAAATGCTTAAGCACTCCCCCCTGTTTTAAACTTTGAAACTTTATAAAGCATGCGAGAGTTTATCTTATCTCTCTCCCATCTGTTTCATGGATCCAAGGTAGCCGCGCCACTTCCAATAGCCCGAATACCTGAAAACTTTGGTTACAAAAACTTAGTTAGTAAGAGGCTGATTTCATGAGCCCGGTAGCAGCCGGGATTCAGCCAAGCGTTAAATGATTTTGGCAAGTGAAAACGGTTCAATACTTATCAGAAAAATCTTCTCGAGAAATTTTACAATATTCTGATTTAATAACTTCTCAAAACATTTAAAATTGAAACAAACAATTTGCACTAATTTGAGAATGACAACCGGAGTGACGTGTGATGCTTCGCGAACAGTTGCAATTTTTAACCTTGAAGTTTTGGCTGTTTTTAATCCCTTGAAATCATCGGGCTAGCTCGCTATCCGGGCCAGCTCGCCTCCATATAATCAGGCCCTAAGAACGGATCAACGCTTATCTAATAAAAGTGGTGCTGAGGGGCTCAGTCTGTAATATATGCGTTCTATATATAAGTGTTCTATAGTGATACATGTGATTGACAGAAAATTAACTATAAAAAAATATTAGCTAACACGTGGTATTAAAACTAACTAGACAAAGAGCTATCGTTTGAACATTATAATATATATTTCTTGAGTTATTACATGGTGTCAGAAGTAGTAGTAGTTTCATATGGTAGTCACACCTCCATGTATGTCTCATTAAGCCAGCTTGTGTCTCATCAAGCCAGCAGAGTTTGGAGGTGTGGTTCCGAGAGTTCGACATCGAAGTTTGGAGACCGGGGTTTGGATCATTCTTAGTTTTCCTTCAGTTAAGTACTTAAGCCCCTGCACGACTACAACGTGATGATCCAGGCGCAGGGGGTGTCAGAAGTGAGAGACCATAAAAAGTAGTTAATATGGCTTCTGGAAACATGTAATGGGCAGCGCCTAAACCTTTGAAGCTATACGGGAATGGGTTAAGATAAAACGCGGAGTGCGGAAACTGAACGGAATGGGGGATAAAACGCGAGTACGGGATAAATTGTGGAATTGGACATAAAACGGGGAATTGAGGATAAAACACAAAATTGGAGATAAATCGCAGAATTGTGGATAAAACGCGGATATGGAGAAGAAACGAATATTTTTGAGTTATTTTTCATTATTTACTCTTTTTGTTAACATTAAACTACTCTGAATTATTAGAAATGAAAACATGTTCCATTAATAAAAATTATAAAACTAGCATACAGAATAAGTAATTTAGCATGTGGCTTATATAAGGCTTCAACCACCAACTCAACTCGAAATTTGACTTTTCACAAGAACAACAACGTCGTATTTTCATATTAAAAAAGGTATTTCAAATTATTTCTGTAGCTTTAAAATAGTACTGATATTATTTTTTCTGAAATGATGTTCGTGCTCGTCGACATATTTGCTTTGGTAATGAAGAGTGATTCAAACTTTGTTGACATATCTCAGTGTCTCAGTTGATAAAAAGTTATAAAAGAGTGATTGGCGTATGCGCTTTGTATGAAGATAGTTTTGTTGTTTCATGTATCTGGGAGGGAAAAGTCGTAATTCAAACATTATCTATCTCATACTTAACAACTACGAAATACTTTACTCGAACACATACTTAATTAAGACCGACTTTTACTAATTGAAGCTCTCTTTATTAAATCATACCTACCAGAACTTAAATAACGGGCTTAAAGCCAGCATAGAACTCTCACTATTTGATGTCACAGCCACACAATCAATTAATCTTTCCCATGATGTAAAAACTGTCTAGTTTCCCTCTCAAATATTGAGTTATACATGAACTTTTTATCCAGAGTATGTTTCATATTGTACTAAGTAGAAGCAGTTTTCAGCATTGTAAGATAGACGATGTTATAGATGACGACATTAAATATGATTTTGAAGTTATCTTTTTTTTTCTACTTGTTGGCGTTAAAGGTTTAAGTATACTTAGGATGGGCTACATCACAAAACCTAGCATAGGGCATAAGGACTATGTCACTCTTCTGTGAAAGGGCTAAGTAAAAGAATATTTTAAAAATATATTTTTAAATGTATCGTGCACGTGGTTAATATTTTGGAAGACCGTGCACGCACAGGTATTTTATCTAGGGCTGTCGAAAACGGAGGTTATTTGAATACCATGACGTCAAAAGGGTCAAGCGCACTTTTCCTGCTTTTTGTTACACATTTTTTCTACAATTATTAATGAGTTCAATTTTTTAACATGTGCAGCTAATCATTTAACAGCGTTTATCGTAATCATGCGTTTCATTTCGTAAAGAATTTCAGATTGCATTCACACTCGAGCCAACTTTTTCTTTCATCGTCACCTAACGAAAAAAATTGAAGATGGGACGCTGAGATGACATGCTCATGTTCATGACAATGTGCATTGAATTCTTACGCTGAAATCATTTGTAAATACCTTTTTCAATATGAAAATACGACGTTGTGAATCTTGTGAAGAGTCAAATTCAGAGCTGCTTTGTTTGTTAAAGCATATTATATATAGATGATTACTTACTCATTCTGTATGCTATTTTTATTAATAGTACTTGTTTTCATTTCTAATAATTCAAATTCGTTTTATGTTCACAAAAAGAATAAACAATAAAAAATAACTCAACAACATTCACTAATTTTATTCCACGTTTCATTTCCAATTCCGAGTTTTATCCTCAATTCCGTTCCGCTTTCCGCTTCCGCGTTTTATCCTAACCCATACGGGAATGTCAGCGACAATTTTCGTAAGTTCGAGGAGCACTGGACGCTCTTCGAGAAGACCGAGCTAAAAGGACCTTCTGAAGAGGAAAAATGCTAATACTTTCTTCTATGCATTGGAGAAAAGGAAGAGAAGTATTCAAAACTTTCTTGTTTGCCAAAAGCAACAAATCGGAAAGGAGAAACATCCAAACAAGGGATGCGGTAACTGCTGAAATCTTGTCCTGCGTATTGGAAAAAATGTAACAATTGTCAAAATCTAGAACATTTTGCCAAGTATTGCCGATCGCAAAAAAAATAAACGGAGAAATTAGTACATGCCGTCGATTATGAAAGCGACTCATCTGCTCGCGGAATTGACATGGTAAAGACTGTCGTAACAAGTGACAATGATGAAGGAACATACAAGTCTTAAAATAAGCGAAACTGACAGATTTCGGAGGACATAATAATCCTGTCGTAGGTAAATGTTATGTCAAGTGTCAGTACAACGGAACAACTCAAGTATTCGAATTTCAAGTGGTAGAGAAAGGTAAATCGTTACTTGGATGCGCTAACTGCAAGAGTATAAAACATATAACATTCAACAACGTAGACCAACTATGTGACGAAAAGAATAATGTTGCTACAAGTGGAAGCTCTCTAACTGGACTTTCTAGTGAACGAATTTTTGACAAGTATGCCAAGTGTTTTGAAGGATTGGGTCGTATATCAGAACCATATCACATCAAGATTAATCCCAATGCAACATTTGTTGTACACCCTTCTCGTAAACTCCCTTCAGCATTGAGAGATCGTGTTCAAAAAAGGCTGATGGATATGCAATCCAAGGGAATAATCAAAAAGTTAAACGAGCCGATAGCATGGGTCAACTCCATGGTAGTTAAAGAAGAACACTCTGGAAAGTTACGCATTTGCATCCATTCACGAGACCTTAACAAAGCTCTGCTCAGAAAACATACCAGCTTTCCAATCAACAAGAGATCACAAGCCGTTTGACGGATGCCAAATTCTTCAGCAAGCTGGATGCCAACTCCGGATTTTTGCAAATGCCACTCGACGATGAGAGCTCTTACCTGACGACGTTCAATACCCCATTTGGTCGTTATCGCTTTAGAGTAATACCCTTAGGTGTGGTGTTTGCACAAGAGGTGTTCCAAAAGACTGTACACGAGTAATTTCACGATATATCAGAAACATACTATCCATACTGACAACCGAAGATAGTCTTATCTACAAGAGCCACAATATCTTAATTCCTCCAACATTGCAAGCTGAAACCCTCAAAAAATTACACCATTCACATCGAGGCATCGAAAAGACTTAGTATCAAGCTGCTCAACCTGTCAATACTACGCTAATGCTAATCAACGAGAACTACTCCGTTCACACGACATTCCAAGTTGTCCCTGGCAAAAATTTGGCACTGACCTTTTTGACTGGAATGGAAAACCACATCTAATAGTTGTAAACTATTACAGCCGATATCCCGTATTCACACGATATTCCGTAAAGAAACTTAACTATTAAAGAACATTAGCTAGCACGTGATAGAGACAATGTGCGTACTGCATGCACGAGCGTATTAAAACTAACTAGACAAAGAGCTATTGCTTCAACACTATAATATATATTTCATAAGTTATTACACAGTCTAACTGCACAATTGTCTAGTCTATAAAAGTATTAGAATAATAATCTACCTGACATGCAAAAATTTGGGGTGTGCGTACCCCCGAACCCTCTAATAATTCTACAATTGAGTTTGAATGAAAAAGAATAAAGAATTAGCGCAACTGGCTCACATTACGCTATTAGACCGCCTAGGGCAAACATCTACCTGCAAAAAACACCCTAAGTGTACCGGCGTAATATGAGCTGAGGTCAGTTGACTCATCTTTAATATGCAAGTATTCTTTCCACTACAGACAAACATGGAACTATCGAAAGAAGAAGATTTTACGTAAGTGAACTGTTGCCTTGGTAACTGAATTCTTACTGGTCAGTTTATCCTTAACCTTGATTAACTAACGTTGATTTTCACTGTTTCTTTTTTCATCTTATTTTAAATCTTTGTGACAGCAAATGTTATCATAGAGTTTTCTGATTGCATTGTAAAGACCATCTAAAATGGCTGAATGAGTTCTTGAATAGCATTATGCTATTTTATTTTTTTTTGGAGAAATTTTCCACTATGTAAATGACATTGTTATGACATAACATTGCATAATTACCTTTAGGAAGTAGTTCTAACGATTTGGAAAATGAATGATCTTTGAAATATTGTCGCGTTATTTAACATAGCGATGCTATTTACATAATGAATAAAGTTAAATCTCTCTAAAAAAAGTAAAATAAGTCATATCTAATGAAGAGGTTATGCAGTTATGTTATTTATTCTTTACATTACAATCAAATTTGTGATAAAATTTCGTGTCATAAACACGTAACAAATGAGTCGCAGCGTAATGCTTTGCGCGCTTGTTGATTTTTTTGGCATTGAACTTACCATGTCTGATAGACTAATACAAAGTTGAGGCAGGGGCTGGTATTCGTACTGACTAAATGTGAGATATGAGATACGTCTTTCTTTAACTTTATTTATTTAAAGCGCTTGTGTCTAGGTCAAAGGAAGAACTTCTTTAGATAGTTAAATCGATTTTAAGAACACTTGGAATGTATTTGAATTCTTGAAATTTTATCTTCGTTGACTTTTAGTAAATATTTTAGGTTTTTAGTCGAATTATTTTAACGTTTACCACTTGCCAAGTAGCATCATTTTTTCATAAAAAAATTGTTTTGGGCATCTCAAAAAAAGGAACCCGCACAAATATTGAAGTATGCAGCAATGAATGAAATCTACATAAAATAATTAACCTGCAATAGCTATTTTTTCCGTTATATTAATTTATACTTACACTTTGTCCATGTTCTAAGCAAGTGAAAAATTGGACTAAGTTTTTATAGCTGTAATAAATTTGAGATGAAAATTAGTGTATACAGTGGTTTTGTCTTGCTTTGCTTTGAATACTTTCAAACCCTAAAGACCTGTCAAGTTCGTTGAACTGGTGTGAATGCAAATTACATCATTGTGTATGATTGTTTCAGTGAAATAACAATTCATGCGGGTTACGTTTCTTACGGCACAATTAGATTTTATATTTATTGTCATTTTTGACCGATATCTTTGTATAGGAAGAATTTGATGATTTAGAACCCTACCCCCGGCAAGCACGCCATCTTGAGATGTGACAAAAGCAAAAGTCTCAATCTTATCAAGAATTAGCTGCTCAAAAAGTTTGAAAAACGAATACTATTATATATTTTAACAACGAAACCGTGACTATCACTTCTGAAACTATATATCAACGCAGGAGAAGCAGATTTTAGTCGGAAATATTGTCATTTTTGCCACCTTTCAATATGGCGGCTTTCGTCACTCGTAACTATTGAATTTCGACTCGAGTCTGGTATCTAGTGGGTTGGGTTCGAGGTCTTTATTTGTCTTGCTTTGACGTCCCTCATGAGATGTACGCTACTGTGTTGGTGTTGTGATGGATGTTATCTCCTGAGTAGCTTTTTATGTTTTAGACGTGCCTTGCAACTGGAGGAAGAGTTTATAAAACAAATGTGCGATGATATAATTGCTGTCCACCCAGATCTAGTTTTCACCGAGAAAGGAGTATCAGGTATCGATTATTTCTTCGACTTTAAGATGAGATGGGTTTTCTTTCGGGAAGTGCAGCAGAAAGGGGTTCTGCATCCACGATATTTTCCAGGGGGTGTAATCAGATATTGTTTGAGCAAAGTAAACTTTATTTGAGTTATTCGAACTTGTTAGGAAAACGTTCCAATGAATAGCTGTTCTTCTATTCAAGAATGTTTACTATATCTCGAATGAAATGATACAATTTTGGGAAGCGTGTGAATTACCTTCAAACTAATAAGCGTAAGACCTGCAATCGGCATTGCACTCATTCACTGAAATTTAACATGACTGAATGGTACGGTTTAGAATACTATGTAAAAAGTATTCGCTCTTTTTTACCAATATGCTCTACGGTTCTTGAAACCATAAAGTATGCAACGGGTCATGCATATCTGCAGTGAACTTTTTTCCGTCGATCTGAACCATTACAAATAACTTTGGGTTTATGTATAGACATCTTATCATTGGCATTATGGTTCCGTAAAACTCCTGGTAGCGTGTGATCGCGGTGTTTTTACAAACTTTTTTCGACTTACTTTCATTTAGATTTAGCTCAGCATTATTTGATGAAGGCCAACATAACGGCCATACGCCGTATAAAGAAGGGTGATAATAACAGACTTTCTAGGTAAGCAGTCAACTATTTTCTGCGGTCTTCATTGGCCTCGTATTTTAGATTTTGCAGTGGTTGGATGAGTATTTTGCATTAAATGAATGTTTTCTTGTAGTTGAAATTGACCAAGTAAAGTTATTTGGGTTGACAAATTCATCATTTCTCTGTCGATTGATTATTACCGTGCAAAGTGAATTTCTCAGAAGTTAGCGCAAGTGCCATTAAAATGTTCTGTAATTTGCGAATAAGTACGAATAAAGTACTATCACACGATTAGCTTTGCTATTTTACCATACAGAAGAACAATCGAACATTTTACATTCAAACTATCTGAGGTCCTTTTCTTTATCGATTTCGTGTGATCTGCATTTTGTGTTTGAAAGGTGTCTATAAAGTTCAGTATTGTCTGTATGCCACGATTTTAATGATTGCGATATATCTCGTTGTCAGGGCATGCCAAGCTACCATAGTCAACCGAACTGATGAACTACAGGAGTCGGATGTTGGTACAGGTGCTGGATTATTCGAGATAAAGAAGATTGGGGACGAGTAAGTGTATAACAAGGTGTAAGGGGCTTGAGTTCAATATATTCAATGACTTTTTTAATAACCAACCATGTTTATGTTGAATTTCACATAGTAAAAAATTATTTTGACTGATTTCATCAAACGCACTTTTTCAGAAGAGTAAAGGTGTGTTGTATTGCTGTAATCAGTACTCAAACAGTGGCGAAGCCAGCCCGAACGCCTACAATTCAAAAATTTTAGCAAAATTACTATTCATTTGTTAGAAAATCAATTCCCTTCGTTGTTTTTCCTTTTATTGAACACAAAAATATTTGCACTGTCAAAACAGGCTGGTGTAGCTACTGCAGTCAACGACTTGTGTCAAAAAGAAAATTACAGAAGAGTTAGTCCATGTTTTCATCCACCATTCATATTCATTGTGATGGTGGTTTTGACCACCGACCTAGGTCGGGTCCATTGAAAAACTTGTTTAAACACAACACTAATGGAGCGTACCTCCTACCCCCACCCCATCCACCCCCGAGATATTTTGGGGTTTTTTTTTCAAAATAAACGAATCCCAAATATTTAGCTCAACACAGCAATACTTAGACTTTAGATAATTAAGGTAAACTGCCACCTGAAGAATGGGATAATATGTGCTTTTGAAGTACGAAGTATCGTCTCTTGACTTCAAAAATAGATTTCAAAATTAGCATGAAAAAGTGGTTTAGCTTACAGTAACTGTGATCGTATAAAGCAGTTTAAAGATTTCCTGTATTATCGTATCAAAAATTGATTATCGCAATTGAGTTTTAAGAGACTGTCTAGGATCCATTCATGTAGCACTTAAAATACTTCACCTGGTCGTGAAGCCTTTCTTTTTGTTGTGTGCTGTTTAAATCCATTTGTTCTCATACGCAGTGATTTTCATTGAGTTGGGGTGATTTTTATTTTACATTTTAAAGTGATTATGCAACGAATTTTTCACTTTGCTTTTTACGAGCTTATTTTATAAGTCTTTTCTGATTACAATTCTGAAAACAGAATTAAAATGGGCTTTTTCAAACTGTTTCTACAGTCGCTAAAATTTGCAATTTTTGTCAATTTTTGTGCGAACGTTTGCAATTGGCGATGACGTAGAAACGAGTACCGCCTTTAGACATGGCGTATAGAATTAATAGCGACGAGCAGCGATGGAGTGAAGAATGTTGTTTTGCCGGCAGTTTGAACTAAATCAGTTGCGATAATACTCCACAAAATGAAATAATAGCTATCCATCTGTCTTATAACGAGAAGACGGATCGTCTAAAGCGAATATAACGAGTGAATTTTGTCCACAAACATGGACAAAATTTCGACGCTATGGCCACATCGTGTTTATGTTCGACACACTTTGGAAATTCGTACTATAATATGAATGGTGAAGTAGTAAAATGTGTAAATCTGAAACAGTGTTTAAAAAAAGATTTTCTACCTGTGAGAAAGGAATATTAGCATTATTGAAAAACAGCTAAACCGAGATAAAACGAACATATGTCAGTAGACCTTAGTGGACCCAAGTGGTTTCATATTACGCGAGGAACAAGAACAAGAACATGCAATTAACACGAATAAAGTGTAGTAAAAAACAAAGAAACTTTACACAAGGAAGATCTGAGTGTCTTTTATATGTGATATGAAATTCAGCTAACATATAACTCCAAATTTATACATAACTCTGACTGTGGATTGCATTTTATACATAGTTAAGATATTTATATTTAAGATATTTCCACACTGATCATATTGACCCAGTTGAGGAGTGTGTCTATTTTATTTAGCTATTGAAGCCTTTTGTCATCCCATCTTGGTAGTTTGCTCTCACATGGGGCATCCAAATCGCAAAATATAGCATATATATTGCACTGTAAATAGCAAACATTTTATAGCTTATATGAAACAATCTTTTTGATTTAATGACTGCTACCCACATGAACAGCATGATGTCTTATACTATTTGTCCAAAATCTCTGCATTAGGTGTTGTTGGTTATGCATTTTATGTATTCATTACTGACAAGATATGTTTTCCATTATACCTTCCATCAAATATTTATGGCAATATTCAAATTGCACTTCATCATTAACAAACAAGTCAAAATATTTACTTTGCGTTATTCATCACTTATGTTTAAACTTCAAACAACTTTTATCAAAAGTCATAATATTCATTGAATAAACACTACCACAAGTTGTTGGGGATCTACTGTTATTTCTTTGTATTATTGTCTATAGAAGGATTATGTCCGTTCATCAAGTCTTGTTTCGACATTTTATGCGTTCTTGTACAAAAGATTGGTCGTCGTGCACAAAAAAAATTCATCTTAAATGCCATACTATTGCTAATGTACTTATACAAATTTTATTAGAGGTAGTATTATACATACTCAAAATTTGTGTGATTAAGTACTATTTGAGAACTCTTTACCGCATATCCGTGAATAACTTGTATTATAAGGACTCTGATTTGATTTCAAACAAAATTATTTGGTTTTTACACTTAAAAAGCTTGTAAAATCACGGCAAATACCTCGCACGTTATAATAAATACTATAAAGTATTTAGGGGGCGGTACTCGTTTTCACGCATTGAACTGTAATAGATGGAAGGCTACCTGTAATAGAAAAGCCTAACAATTTTTTGAAGCCAGATTTGACGTCTGGTCACGCGTGTCTGGTTTTTAAAGAAACGTGTTTTTACCAAAGCCTTTTTCTGATTTTATTTAAAGAACTAACGCAGAAACGTATCGTGCCTTTAAAGGTAATGGGGCTTAATCTTTATTCAGCCAATAATGATGCTTTCTATTGAATACCTATTTCGAAATGGAAGATATCAAAGTGTGGAAACTGTGAAAAACAATGACTTCGTTCATCGTTCAGAAGGATTCAACTGTGGATGTATTCAATAATATACATGCTTCTCCATGAAATATTTTTACGTACATCTATATACAGAAACCCTTAGTTTGGGAGGATGTGACGAGTATTATCATATATTATTTAATTTATCTTTTAAAACCCAATCTCATGTTTGAACTAAAAATTGTGTTTTTCTGTAAATCTGTTCGTCACGGAAGAACGTTAATAGTAATTGTTTTGGGTAAAAAAAAACATTTACAAAACTGATGTTTGTTTAGAATTTTTCGTACTTTTCTATGCTACTTTGAAACAAAAACGCTTTAGTTTTTGGCACATTCGCAGACATACCAACATAAACAGCAACTGCAAAATGCCTTCTAGTTATCCTTGGCTATGGCTTCCTTTTCAAAAATGTAATTGTCAAAATGTTGTATATACTTGTTGTTAATTCTCATTTGTGAAAGTTTTGTTTGCCAAATAAGACAGAACAGAATTTGTGTTTTGTTTTTGAAGCTTTGTAGTTTGTACACATTATTTTACGCTTCTGTCTTTTGGTCGTGGAAAGACTGGCTCTACCGGCTTCAAAATATCGACTGACGTAGCCTTCCATCTATTTAGTTCAATGTCACGTCACAACGAACAAACATGGCGGCAAAAAAGGTCGCCCGAAATGACAAAGTTTTGACATAATTTTCGTTAACTTCTACTCAACTCACGAAAGTCATTTATGCACCAAATTGCTTCTCAAAAGCCAAATATTTCGATAAGATAATAAAAAGCGTAGAAAAAAATTCGTTGCATAACCACTTTAATGTTTGTTGTCAAATGCAATATACAGCCATCTTTTATCTATTGTAAGATTGGTTTAAAAATTGTCTAAAAAAGAGCAAATACCATGGTGAATGGTCAAATACTATCGAAATAGTTCTTAAAAAAATGTTTAAGCCAGAACTCTAAACCAACGATTCTAAAATAACTGTTTTTAAAGATGAAAGGCACTATGCATTTTCACTTTACATCAGGGGCCGTTTGTACGGAAGGCGTTTAAACTAAACGACGTTTAGCCGCTATAAACCGTATAAATTTCTTATCCGGCGGATAGTTAAACGATGGTTAGAATTACGTTGCACGAACGCCGTTTATTTTAGCGTTTAACTATCGGGAGGATAAGCTCAATTTAAACGAGGGAAACCAGAAAAAACCATAATCTGGAGGGGAAAGGGGGCCCAGGAACTGTTGTTAAAAACATGGATGCCAAAAGGAAATTTTGGGTGAAAAACTTACACTTGAAAAATCATTTTTATCATTCACTCCCTGGTTTCTGATTCAATACAAATTACAACCTGTCAAGACAATCCCGATAATGAAATAAATCCATAACGTTTTCGATTGAAAGATATGCTTTAGCGTTTTATGAAATGCATATACATTAATAAGTGCAAATTTCACATTGAAGAAACGTTTGCTTTTCTTACACGACCATTTTAATAACACGGCACAAGACGGCCTTCGTCAGTTGGAGTTTGGACCATGAATGTGTTGTGATCAAGCTTATTACAACTCTCTTTATCGAGTAAATCGAAGTAAAGGCATGAAAAAGTGTCCTACGGCAAGTCAACTGCTAAATGAATCTTCGTTAAATTTGCTGTCATCGAATTTTGAGTAAACATTGTTTGAATACTGGCTGATGTCATATATTATCTCTGGCAGTTCTTAAATGAGATATGATCATTCATATAACATTCATCTGGCAGTTCTATTGAGTTTATGATAAGACAACAATTAGAACTTGCTGAATTATTAGAGCAAAACTCAAAATATTATTATAGAATGCTATTGCTGGTTAGAAATCTATAAATAATTTTACTCAACATGTCAGTCATGTTGCTAAAGGATTGTAGACTGTTTTGCACTACCTTAGATCAACTGCTGATTTGCAGAACAGAACTACCTTATTCTACTTGGAAACTTTGACTTTTGCAATCAAAGTGCATTGGTTTCTCTGACATATATCATTTAAGAAATAAAAGATGTATGTTTACTGTGTTTGCACAGGCTTATGAAAATCGAGGAGACCTTTGGCTCGAGAGTTCCCACAAACGTCTCCGAGGTTTGCATAAGCCAGTGCAAGCACGAAAAATATCTTTTAATTCTTTTATAAAATAACAATAATGCAAAACAGTGAAGCATTTTAGTTTTTTCTCTAAAATGTATTCATGATCGGTGGGCAAATTCTCTGACTGATTGATTGTTATGATTGATTTGAGCTCGGGTGTGTTTTGCACTTGCTAATGCAAACACAGCTCTAGACCAATCAGCGCACGAGTTTCATTTTGTTTATTTTATAATGCTTCTTGCTGCATGAAAGCAAAATTATGTAAATACTAGTGTCAATCAAGATATTTTTTACAAGTTTCATCAATATTGTGCATTGCATGCAATATTTTGTCATTGTGTAATGTGATAAGAATCAAATTTGGACAAAATAACTGGGGCCGGTTGTATAAAGCTCTTAACTACTTTTTAACTACACTTTTTGCAGTTAAAAAGTAGTTAAATTTAACCACGCGGTTAAGTCGGTTGTATAAAAAAGTAGTTAGTGCTAACTGCAGTTAAAAGGTAGTTAAAGTTAACTATGCTATGGAGCATAGTTAAGTTTTCAAAAAACAGTTAAATATGGCGGCTTAGCTTCTTAAAGACAATTATGGGCGAGATGTTGATCAAAAAGGTTTTACCTCGAGTTTTTAATCACATTTGTATCTTCCATGGCAAAGGCTTTTAGAAAAGCTTTATGGACGATGTACTACATTCGTCAGTGCTGTAAACATCCCAAGTTTTGCTGAAGAAAAACAGCCAACAACTTATCCGCGTAACAAATCCCTTTTTAAACAAAAGCAATTGCATTTTGTATTGTCTTTTTTTGCGTCCGGTAGCTCTTTCAACTCATAAGCGAGACTCTCAATTGAGATATAGCCCTTTATTTAAGATTAGTGCACATAACTCGCTGACATTGTCTTAAAACCACGTACAATTCGTTCAATGACAAAAAAAAAGAATGTTATTCGAGCAATGAATCCTATAGCTTTGGATGTATCAAATATTCAAATTGCGGGTTTTTCCCATTGAGTTCTATAAGACCTGGAGGGGAAATGTCAACCAAATTACTATAAATTATTAGCGCGCGGCCGCGTGGTCAAAAACATGGCGGATTTTGGTTGTCAAAGTCAGCGGAAAGACGCGGGCTCATAAAATAAAATTTTTTTTGCACACTCGGATTTGACAACCACAATTGCGATTATATAAAATATCAATGCCAAGCACAAAAACTTTTAGAAATTTTATCTTTAAAACATGCTGCAAACTTGTTTGGTATATGGATGCTGAAGTGATGCCAGAAAAGGAAACATTTCATGACACCGGTAAGCAACGTAAAGCCTGGTTCACATATGCCTGCGGTGTGCCTGCGAAATGACCGCCGACAAGACCTGCGCTTATTTATTGTATATGTGAACAATCGCTCGCCGGTAACGCAGGTTATCTGTGTCAACATCGGCGGCCTGCCGGGAAAGTTGACTAGAGTTCAACTTTCCCGGCAAGTTTGCGATATGTCTGCGGTATACGGCGGCAATTACATATATGTGAATAGTCCGCCGGTATGCCTGAACGATTTGTCGAATCCCACAATGCATCGGTCTGATGTGGATAACATGGCGGACGAAATAGCAAAACGCACAATACAAAGCACCGAAATGGACGAAAATAACAATTCAGACACCAATGAAGTTATTGAAACAGTCAAGAACAAAGCACTTATGGATACCATACGTATATATCGTGCTATATACGATAAATCGTGTCCAGATTACAAAAATCAAAGGATAAAACAAAACGCTTGGCAAGCTGTGGCAGAAGCTTTGGAATTGGACGTTGCAAGTGTGCAAAAAAGGTACAACACAATACGAACAAATTTCTCCAAGTACATAAAGAATATTAAGGGAAAATTAGGCAGTGGTCTGCGATGGTTAATTACACATATTCGACATCATCAGGCAACAAGTAATTTTTCAACTTCCACGAACTATCCTCTTGGGCAAACTTCCCATGCATCAATAGAACTAACTGATGAGGGAAGCGAATCTAGTAAGGTTAGCACGGTGTTTGTAGACGATGATTCGGACGATATATCAGCCAGTTTTTCTGATCAAACCTCATCCAATGGAGGACAAGACTTGGATGCAGATATTGGTAGTGGTAATAATGATGCTATACAGATGGTCAAAGATAGTAAAACGCTTGGCAAAAGAAAGATATGCTCATTAGAAGAAGAAAAATATTGCAGGCCATGGGCAAAGAATAAAAAAGT